TCTAGCTTTGGCCTAACAAAAGTTCTGAACAATTTCTTTAGTATATCGCCATCCATGTATTTAAAAGCAATTCTGAAGTTAGAAAGCGTGGCATAGGCTCCTCGCACAATATTCTTTGTGGTCCTCAGGTGATAGTTTTCTATCTAGAACCACCCCTAGATCTCTTTCTTTATCAGAATTCTTTAAAGATTTCTCACATAATATATAGGTTGTGTGGGGTCTATGTTCTCCTATTCCACATTCTATAACATGGCATTTATTAACATTAAATTCCATTTGCCAAGTGGTGCTCCATATACTTATTTTGTCCAGGTCATCTTGAAGGGCATGACAATCATCTAAGTTTCTTATCCTTCCTATTATCTTAGCATCATCAGCAAACATGTTCATATTTGTGGTGTGGCCGTTCTTGGGCCTCTCGGAAGGGTCGTGCCAGGTTTCAGTTTTTTTTCTGGTCTAGGTGGGCTCTTGATGCCAGCTTCGAAGCCTTCATCGTCTGGCCAGCATAATGCTCGCTCTTCGCATCCGCAGGCTTCTCATAAGGGGCACCAGCCCTTTTGTGGGTCACCCCGTTGATGGGGTGCTGGAAGGGAGGCTGGCTCTGTTTGCCCACGCTTGATTCCACTATTTGTGGGCGTTTCGGGTCTTGACTATCTGGTCTGTGGTGGCTTTGGACAGCTCCTCCAACTTTGGGGGGTTTGGGGTTGGCGGGGGCAGGCTTCTTTCCCTTTGTTCCGTCAGGTCATCTTGGAGTGGGTGCGCTTGGGCATGGTCAAAACAACCTCATCCCTCAAGTGGGTTTCTCGCCTGTTTCCAGTACCGAAACGGGACTGTGTGGATCTTTTGTTTATTCTTGACTTGTCCTGTCTGAACCGCTGGATTCCTTACCCCTCTTTTCAGATGAGGACTCTATTCCAGGTTTGGCCTCTTTTTGAAGCCGGGGTGTGGGATGGCGTCTCTGGACCTCTGGAATGCGTATTGGCACGTCCCGATTCATTTGGGGTTCAGGGACTGGTTAGGTTTTGTCGTGGGGCGGCGTGCTTACCACTTTCGTTGCCTTCCTTTTGGCTTGAATCTGGCACCGCGCATTTTCAGGCGTCTTACCCGAGTCGTGGTGACCCATCTGTGTCTGCTAGGGGTTTGGGGTTCTTGCCTACCTTGACAACTGGATAGTGTGGGCTTCCAGCCGGTCTGGTCGTCTGCTCACCAGGGGTGTGAATCTTTCCCAGCTCGCCGGGTTCAGGTTCCTGGCAAACTGGAAGAAGTCCCATCTGGTTCCATCCCCAGGTTTGGACCTGGCTGGGCCTAGTTTGGGACCCTCAGACCGCTTCTGTGTGTGTTCCTCCAGAGGCATTGTTGCGGCTGCGGTCCAACCTTCAGCGGTTCCTGGGGTGTTCCCGGGTCACTCAGCAGTTGCTCGAACAGTTATATGGGAATCTGAACTTCACTGTGCTGGTTTGCTTGTCGGGTCTGGCTTCAGTGCCTGTTCTGGTTCCTTTGGGGACATCCCTTCCGCCTCTCTTGCAATCTGCATTCACAGATGCCTCGTTTCTCAGCTAAGATTTTGTGACCAGTGCTCACCAGTTTGCAGCAGTGTGGCTTTCGCTGCGGCAGTGGGGCTTTCGCTGCGGCGGTATGGCTTTCGCTGCAGCGAGTTTGGGTCGCTATATGATCTAGCTATATGATCTAGCTCCATTCGTTTTGTTCCCCAGTGGTTCATTGATTGAACCATGAGGGAGGGGGGGTCTTTTTGGTCCTTGGCTCTTAGGGGCTTCTCGTTTCAAGTGACTCGTCTGCTGGATTCTCAGGGTTCAGCTCTCTCTGCGGTTGACATCGGGGGTGTCCAGCGTTCTGGCCGATGGCCAGTCCCGGTTCATTACCCTGTCCCTGGAATGGATGGTCAACGCCGACTCCTTCAGTTAGCTCAGCCGGACGAATGGGTCCCCGGTGGTGGACCTCTTGCATTGACGTGGTCCTGGCGTTTCCGAATATATGTGGTGCTCTTTCTCGACTGCGGAGCCATCGCAGACAATGCCTTTCGGCAAGACTGGTAAAGGTGGGGTTACCTTTACCTCTCCCCCCCCCCCCACCGTCCTACTGTTGCTTTGGGTTCTAGCTTGGTTGGAGTTTTATTGCAGGAGAGTCATTCCTGTGACTCCTTGATGGCCAACATAGTCTTGGTTTCAGGCACTACTTGCTTGGTGTCTGAACTAGGGCATTTTCCGTGTCTTCGCTTCCCTTCCATCAGATCTGGCCGGTCATATATCTGTTTAATTCGATCTACTCCTCCACTCTTCGTGTCTGGTCTTTTTGACGCAGGTGTATCACCACTTGTATGGTGATCAGGTGACTTCACTGATGATGTCCCACTCGCAGTCTTTGTCTCGGGGACAGTATGAAGTCTCTTGGCGTTCTTTTCACCATTTCCTCTCTTCATAGGTTGTCTTCTGTTTCTGTTTGGATTGTTTTGTCCTTTTTTGGTTCTTTCTGGACCGTCATCTTATGACAAATACTCTTGCCTCTTATCATGTGGTGCTGGCAGAGTCAGCACCGCATGTAGTATCTTGTAGTAGCAAGTAGGGTAGTAGCTTGCATTCGAAGTGGATGTCACTTCCACCCCCCATTCCATAAGCTTTCTTGTGCTTTGTTTCATCTTTGGCCTGCTCATGTGCTGCCTGAGCCCTCCTGGTCCTTGAACCCAGGTGCTCTCCTTTTCTCTTTCCTTCTTGGTTTGTAATGGCCTCTTCGATTCACGATTGCTTTCAGAAGGCGCTGTTACTGTTAGCATTGGCCTCTGGGGGTCAGGTCGGTGAGCTTTATGCTTTCCTCCAACGCAGAGGTTTCTGCTCTTTTGGTCCTGGTGATTGGTTTGTTTGGTTGCATCCGTCTTCATCTTTTCTGGTGAAGAACAAGACAGCGAGCTTCCGGAGGGGCCCTTGGGTTATTGATGCTTGGGTGGTCAGGCTGGGGTTCTGCCTGTGTTGTGTCTGGTTGTGGCTCTGCGCCATTAAATGCACACCTCGGCTTCTGTGGCCATGAACCCGCTTTGTGTTAATCTGATTTCCCTCATTCCCTGTTCCAGGGCTCGGGTCTCTCAGGTCGTCCAAAGGGTTATTAAGCCTAACCAGTGTGTGGTCTACTCTCGTTACTATGTAAGGGCATGAGGGTAGTATGCAGTGTTTCGTAAGTATGCAGTTTTAGCCGCAGTGTTTGGGAACATGTCTTGGGCTGACATTCTGGCATGGGGGGTTTTGGAGGTCAAACAGGGTCCTGGCTGCTTGTTATTTGATGAATATTCCTGGTCCCAGTCATTCATGTGTTGCTTTGGGTCGCAGGTTGCAGCCAGTTGTCTCTATGGGGTAATCCTAGCAGGCAGTATTTGTTTTTAATTAGTGATTATTTATTTTGTATTTTTTAGTTTACTTCAATATTGAATTATGATTCTAAGTGGACAGCATGTTAATTTCAGCCTGCCAGAATTTACCTGCACATAGTTGGGAGGGATGTGTACAACTTACACCACAATTGGTGGTTATATAATAAGCTGTAAACATTTACCATTAAATTTATATAAATTATACCACATATGGTGGTAATTAGACTACAGTATTATAATACTACAACCTACTGGGTCAATATAATGTAAATTGATGGCCTTAGCTGTGATAGTTGCTATGGCCTTATTAGGCATTGTGTGGTCCCAACATCTGTGTTTGTTGGGTCACATGTGGTCTAGGTGCTGGGCCATGTCATGGCATCCATAAAATGGCATCTGTAAAGCCAACTATATCATACATGGAAGCTTCCCAGGTTATAGGTGGTCAGCTCACTAATATCTCCAGGTCACAAGCTTACCTGCCAAAGAATGGGCTTTAATAATGGCTCCATTATTAAAGAACAGGTGTGACATGAATTAAATGGGGTGTGATGCTGAGTAAAACACTACTCACTTTGTGGGGCCTCGCCTGCAGCTTAACAAACTAACCTATCAAATATTTAATAGTGATCACTACCAGTAAAAGATGTAAGGAAGTCGGGAACTGAGCTCTTCTCTTTGTTATTGAGGTCACTATGGTAATTTCTCGGTTGGTCGGATCGTAGTGGATCCTTTGACGAGTTGCGCGTGTCGTGAGTAGCCCCCTCTGTTTTGTTTACAAGCTCTGTCCGTGTGAGAGCGTGACTACCTCTCCTTTCCCCAGTTCGTGTTCCAATAATATTCTCTCGATATTCTATTGAGCCTCTATTATGGAGTTTATTTTAAGGATTTAGGGAAGCAAGCTGTACTTTTACTGCTAATTATATTATAGCCAGTCCTAGTGACTACTTTTTTATTAAGTTTAAACACTAGACTGTTGTATAAGAATAATTGGAGTTTAATATACAGTATATACGTGTTGTTGTGATGACTTCACGAAACTCCCTTTCTCTTTAAAGTCCACTCTTCGAACTGAAGAGTGGACAGCTGGCATGAGGGGGTCCAGGACTCCTCTCTCCTCCTCCTCCGGGGAAATGGGGAGGGGGGGGGGGTGGAGCTGCGCGGACAAGCGGTGCAGCAGCAGTGGATGACATTTGCTTATTTTCTATTGGGGGAGTTCTGTTTCTCTGTTTGGTCTTGGGTTTTCAATTTTCCTACCAAGTGTGGTTTGTTTTTGGAATGCCTACCTTTCTGAGTGCCTAACCCCAGTTTTTGGCAGACATGGAATATGCTCAAATATAACGTGGTTTCCTTAGGCCATTGCTCCCTGCATCTCTCAGAGGAGGCCAGGTTCTGGTTTGTGGTCCCCATTAGGCAGAACTCCATTAACTGAAGCCCCAGATTAATATAGTGTATATCAATCCGGTAGCCCCAGGGAGCCTCCGGGGCACACCCAGAAAATGACGTTTCATTACATTCAATGCTGATTTTTTCACTATTCTTGGTTCAACCTTAAAATTTTACTTTCATTTTGATAATCCATAATTTCTTCATTATACAACTAACTAACTATAAATGCACACAGGTGGTGAGTAATTTGGGATCTCTCGCTGCCCGACTTGTTTTTCGAAGTATTGAAACTGCAGCATACAAATATTATGCCCAGATGATATTTCGAGGAAAACCAATAACAGAACAAAATCAGGTTGGGAAATATGATACAGTATTTTGAAATTAACTAGTTTACATTTCAGCATTTTCTTTGTTATGCAGATGAATCCATATTGATAACCATAGTGTTTAGGATGTATGTTATATTAGACTGGGACATTAGCTAAGGAGTTCAGACCTACCAGGGACCAGCGCCATAACCTGGCCCCTTCAGAGAGGTTTCAGGGAGCAATGGCCCTGGAAAACCCCATTGTGGTTGGGGTTTTCCTTATCTGCCATCGATCGGGGTTAGGCACCCAGAAAGGTAGGCATAACAAAATAAACCCCACATGGTAACAAAAAACCGAACAAAGAGGTAGAAACACCCTACAATCCCAAGGAAACAAAGCAAACATCACACTTTACTGCTGCGTCGATCGTCCGCGCAGCCCTCCCCGCCCCGAGAGGGGAGGGGGGGAGCCCTGGACCTACCGCGCCGGCTGCCTAGCATCAGTTCGTAAGCTAATGTCAACCAGCTGTCTCGGTTCATTCCTCTGTTCGTGGATTGGCCGGTCGTCGCCGACTCGTTTCGTTGGCTCTGCCAGATGTACGGACTCCTGGCCATGGAAGTCTTCGAGTCGGCATGGTCTAGGCGTCGCCCATTCTATGTGGCACCCTTACCTGCCTGCGAGGCGTTCATGGTGGATGCCTTTCGGCAGGACTGATTAAGGTGGAGGTACCTGTTCCTCTTCTCCCTGTCCAGCTGTTGCTTCGGGTTCTGGCTCGGTTGGAGCCCATTCCCATGGGAGTAGTCCTTATGGTTCCTTGGTGGCCAGCCCATCCTTATTTTCAGACACTGCTTGATAGGTGTCCAAACGCGGGGTGTTTTCCCGCGGCTCCGCCTCTTTCAACAGGTCGAATCGGTCCTGTACGTGGCTGGTTCGGCCCTTTCACTGGACCTCTACTGCTGCTGCTGCTTGCTGTGGACCGCAGCCAGCTGTCATGGAACGCTGCCAACACCCTCGCCACAACTATGATTTTCATCACGATCATCTTTGCATTTGCATCTGCTACAGCTTGCTACACCACGATCGTTACTTACTCATCTGGCAGCTTCATCATGTGGGATCTACAGCCTGTCCTGCCGACTCTCCGTCGCTGCCAGGGCACTGCTTGTCCTACAGGGACACCCACGACAGCTGCTCTGTCATCAGATTCATCTACACGTTTACTGCATTCTGCTATGCTGCCGACTCGAGCATTTTCCTTGCGCAGTACAGGACCTACAGCTTGCATTTCTGACTCTTGATCGTCGCCTCCAGGACAATTATGCTCTAGCAGTGATCCCCTCGTCTTAACTATGTGCCTACATTACCTCCTATGGTCATGGTGCCCGAGCCCATCAGTCCCAGATCTAATTGCTCCACCAGAGACCCAAGGACGCCACAATTATTTACATTCTTTTCTCCTGCTACTCCGAGCTTGTCCACGCACTGCCTGCGTATTTTGGTACCGGACTACATGCTCCACAGCGACCCAGGAAACAGTAGACTCATATTTTTTGTTGAATTGTCTTTCTTTCATTCCCTGGCAGGGGGAGTTCTGTAGTAAGTACAAACAATATACTCACTACAGTCTCTCATTAGCTTAATGGCATAACTAATTAGCACTAATTTCACAAGCTATAATCCTAGCCATATTTACAAATAACATTCTTTCCATCCTGGTTGGAGGAAGTTGAGGTGTAGTCACCAAATATAAGCAAGCAAAAAATGAATAGCCGACAGTACAATTATTTCCACAGTGATTCAGTGAACTACAATACAGACGCTTAGGACTTACCACATCTCTTCAACCTCAAGAATGTAGCACTCGGCGTGTACAGTTCTAATTAACCCCAGGACAGTACAGCTTCAACTCAGAGCAGACAGCAGACTAGGACCGCATCGAGCTACAACGCTGTCTCAAGCCCCATCAAGTTTAGACACTTGCAATTCCTCAATCGAGCCGCTACACTCTCCCACATAGAGCTCCACGACTCCTGCCTCACTCAGCTCTGCTCTGTTCCAAGCTCTGTCTCAACGTCTATGATACTGATGTATCCAAAACTACTAAATAAATATGAAAACCCACTAAATACTGTGTATCTAATCTATTCAACAACGTAACATAATCGTACGTTACAAGGGTATTTTATTACATTCAATTCTTGATTTTTAATTTATTATACATTGTGTTTGTGTTCCAATGTGCACAGATCATTTATCACTGATCAGATGATTTAAAAAAACACTCTTGTTTGTGTATCAGTTGTATGAATGAAATTTGAAGTGAAAATATTCAACAAACTTTCATATTTATAAAGTTTGAGTTATAAATAATCTGAACTTTTTTCAGGATCGAATTGCAGCAGTGGTTAGATTCTTTTCTTCATTAATCCGCAATATGATTCTTATTAGTATCATTATCTTAACATTTGGCTGGTCATATTCCAGCTTATTACTGCAGGTGAGTGGCAAACATGTATTCCTTCATTTCATGTCTAAATTTATGTATTCAGGTCTAAATTTATTTATGCAGTGGGAGCCTCGATTTACGATGGTAATCCGTTCCCAGAGACATATTGTAAGTCGAAATATCGTAATTCAAAATAATTTTTCCCATATGAAATAAAGGGAATTGAATTAATCCGTTCCACACTCCTCAAAAATATTAACCTAAAAATATATTTTATACTGAATACAATTTTTTTCTCAAACTCCAATACAGTACATATGTTTATCTTACCTTTATGGAGGACTCTTGATGGTGTACGGAAGATGGTGAGGAGGGGGGAGGAGGAGAGGTGTTACTGTTTGAAAGGGGAGTCCCCTTCCATTATAACATCAGGCAGTGGGGTACACACACTGGCACGTTTTGCCTGCATACCACTAGGACCTGCTTCTGGCTCACTGCTTGATTTTCTCACTAGAAATCATTTCATTGAAGATTGTTTTCCCTTCTTTCCAACACTTGTCTGTAGTGAGGCATCACATTGTCATTAAAAAGATCAATGCAAAAGCCTGTAACAGCTTTATCTGGGTGATTCTTTTCAGCAATACTTTGCAGTTTTTCTTATACTGCACATTTTCTTAATGAGGAAGGGACATCCTCTAACACCGCCGCCGCCTCTGAAGATTTGTTGTACTGCCTAGCTAGTTCAACAACACCAGTACCATTTTCATGTTTACGTATGATCTCTTGTTTTTTCTCTATGGTCATTCTTACATGTGTTTTCATATGTTGAACCTTACTACTGACTTTCTTAGGACCCATGGCATAATATATAATAATCAGTTTTATGTTCAAAAAGCAAAAATCACCACAAAAATGGAATTTCTTATGAGCGTGATCGTCACTAAGTGGGCGGCTCTAGTAAACTGAGGCAGGTCATCCTGCGTGACTGGGAACCATGTGCTCGGTCGACCCGAATGTGTATCAATGAATATCGTTGGTCGACTACACTATCGTAAGTCAAGTCGCATTTTTCGATCAAATTTATATCGTAACTCGAAATTATCGTAAATCGGGGCAATTGTAATTCGAGGTGTCACTGTATTTAAAAGTTTATATATTTTAGCTTCTTAAATCTTTAATTGCACAACTCTATTTGCTTGAGAACTTACTTATATTTTTTATGTCTATGTTTTCTTAACATTAATCTATGGCCTCTTGTTCTGCAAGTTGCCTATTTAGAAAATTCCTTCTTTGTCAACTTAGTAAATTTGTCATGATTTTGTATGTGGTGATCATATTGCATCATTTCTTTCTATCCACTAGCTTTGGCTTATTAATGCCTCCAGTCTCTCCTCAGAGAGGGCCAGAAATGAATACACCAGAATCAGGAGTACAGTAGAGCAGCAGTTTGAAAATGACTTTGCAGCAAAAGCATAGAACCAACCTAAACTGTTGCACAGCCATTTATGGAGGAAAATGATGGTACAAGACCACGTAATCAGACTGTCAGAAACAATATTAGACAGAATTTAAGTTAATGTAGTAGAATGAACTGAGTGCAGCAGAAACAGTAGGACCAGACCAGATATCACCAAGGTTATTGAAGAAAGCTGCAGGGATCTTGTTACCCATTTACTATAGTGTTCAGTATTACACTAGAGATGTGAGAGCTACTAGAATTCTAGAAATAGGCAAATGTAATTCCAGTATTCAAGAAGGGGACAGAAATGAAGCTGGCATTAATCTATAGACCAGTGTCAGTAATATGCATTCTATGCAACATGATAAAGTCATCAGGAAAAAGATTGTAGAAGATTTGGGGACAGTAAATTTTATAATAGAGGCACCACATGGCTTCAGAGAGGGAAAATTATGCAAACTTGATTGAATTCTGTGACAGGGTCAACACAATGAAACAAGGAAGGATGGGTAGACTGTATCTTTGTAGACTGCCAAAAGACTTTTGATACAGTTCCTCTCAAATGACTAATACATAAGATGGAGAGACAAGTGGAGATAACAGAAAAGGCACTGGAATGGGTATGGGAGTACTCGACTAAAGATCATATTCAGAGAGGACATGTCTGGCTGGAGAGGAGTGGAAAATGGTGTTCCACCGGGATCTGTCCTATGACCATTCGTTTCTTAAATTTATGTAAATGGCCACACAGGAGTGAGCTCATACATGTCGATGTTTGCAGATGATGCAAAGTTAATGAGGAGAGTAAGAGCTGAAGGATAATTACCTCATTTCAACATTAAATTGTTAATGTTGAATGAGGTAATTAGTGCACCCGGTATAAATGGATAGGTGGTGAGGCATGAAGCACTAGACCTCGCTTTCCCGCAGCGAGCACTAGACCTCGCTTTTCTAGGTGGCGACTGCTTTGCGGTCGTGGCTGCACTATAGCTGCCCCTATCTCACGCAGGGCATTTAAATTAAAGTGCTAGACACTAAAACAGCTATTAATGTATAGCGCGGTATTGGTAATGTTACTCAAATCATCTATATATGTATTACGCGGCCTAAGGGTTAAAGAACTGTACCATGAGGCTTCAGATAAGAGGTGTTTATTGTAGCTCTATATAGTTTTGAAATAGAGTACTGTACTGTAGTTTTTGTGAGTTAAAATAGTTTTGAGCATTTTTAAGGCTGTTAAGTAATTTGATGTGGCCATATTTCATTCTTGTGCGCTAAATATTTTAGGTATTGCAAGTCACAGTTGAATTTGTAATGGTGGTTTCGATGTCCTTTGAACCATCGGTTTTTCCTGTCATTATTCTAAGAGTGAATAATTTTTTCTTATCTACAGCTCTATGGAGGTCATCAGCTGAGTGAAGGGGAAGGGACACCTCTGATGAGAGCTCAGTGCTTCTATGTTGTCTTTTTGGCCATCAATGGTATCACAGAGTCATATACTCTTGCTGTCATGGATGACGCACAACTTTCAAGGTAACTTTCATAGAAAAAATATTAATTGAGTTAATTTTTTTTATAACTGAAATATATTACATTTATAGGGCTTTGGTAAACTTGTGTCATATTCTTGATCATCTAGATAATATTCTTAACATAAGTTGTAATTGTAATACTTATCTCCACTAACTTAAATCTCTTAAAATTTTCTGCCCCAGAGAATCTTAATTATAATTTTCCTGGAATAATAAAATAAATTGCAGCATATTTTATATAATAAACTGATCTTTTCTGACCTCAGATCTAGTCTGTAGATGGGGAACACATAGGTATTCTGTATACATATAAATATATTACTTTTATCAGTGCATGCCATAAATATGAAACAATCTAGTTTTATTTTGTTCACTGTCAGTAATGTGAAGTGCATAAAACAAATTTTGGTTGAATTGACAGTTGAGTGAATCTAATGAAGACCTCTTTGCTGGCCAATGAACAGGAGCCACTGAGGGGATGGGCACCCTCAGAAATATAATTTTCAAGGTACTGTTTATATTTTTCAGATACAACCGTTTGTTGATATTGTTCTCTTTTGCTTATTTGGGAACAGCAGTCATATTCACACAGCTATTTGGTGTCCTTGGCTTTGTCTTTGCTAACTGTATCAACATGGGACTTCGTATTACATACAGGTAATATATATATACTGTTTGTCTGTAAAGATGATTTCAGAATACGGTATTATCATTCTTTCATGAATTATTGTAGCTATAGATCCATGAGACATGATTAATTTTTCTATGGCTTGTACACATCTACAGAAAACTCTTCTCGGATCATCTCTTAAAGAACGATTATCATCATCCATTAATCTTCAGAGTACTGTAATGTGGTTGCCAAATGCTGATTTTAGTTATTGCCTTATTTTTATACAAATGATGTTAATTTGGTTACATTACATCTATAGGGATATAATGAAGTTCTAAAATCCATGAAAAGTTCTGCTATCCATTTTGTATTTCTTATTATGCAATGAGGTTATTATATGTAATATGAAATCATGGATTATTGTATCGATTATTATGTGAATATGGACCTGCCATTATCATGAAATCACACTTTGGTCTTTCTCACCAGTGTTTAAATATATTACTGAACTATGATCCTTTCATCTGTACCTAGAACAGATTTACATGAAATTTAAGTGTACATATTACATTGTAGGCCTATATAGAGAATATTGGCCTTATATATAATGACAAATTCAGAATCACTGTACTGTATTTGTCAAGTATATGTGCATAAGTTGCATTAGGCTACACATTGTTTATACTACAGTGTAACAATGAATATAAAAACTATCTAGCTTAAATGTCAGAGCCATTCATCCTAACTTGTTGAGTCAGCAAACTGAGTATCATGTCCATAGTCCCAATGACTTGCCCACCCAGCCCCCTCCTGATGTGCATGAAACCAGAATAAAGACTTACATTTCTGGGGGAACCCCCTTCGGCTCCCTGGAGCTATCCAGGCTGATATGTATATCCTTAAACTTTGGTATCAGTCAGTGGGAATGGAGTTCTAGGCCTACCGAGCACCATGGCCAGAACCTGGTCTCCTCAGAGAGGCACGAGGAGCAATGGCTTATAGAAATGCAAATGGGATTTGGAGCATTCTATATCTGCCATTGACCGGGACAGGCACCCAGAAAGGTAAGCACCTTAAAACAAACCCATATTCTGGTTAAAACAACTAAAATAGACCAACTAATGGCCAGAACTCCCCAAATGAAAATGAGCAAACAAGCTCGATATCACACAAGCCGCGCTGCATGTTTGCGCAGCTCCCCTCCCTCCCCGGGAGGGGGAAAAGGGGGAGCCCCAGACCCCCCATGCCAGCGATCCACCCATCATTTCTTCGGCTGATGTGATTGTGGTATGGTCGTGTGGCTCCAGCTCCAGACTCTTTGTACTTTGGGTCCAGTACTGCTCTTACGGTGGTGTGTGAGCTGGGAGTAATATTCACAGGTACTCGGGCTGCATGTGCTGAGGGTTACCTTCCCTGAGTGCCCTGTAAGTACCACCCAGGGTGCTTGGGGTTATCTTCCACAGGTCACCTTGCGGTCAATTTCTGTTGGTCTTTTGCTGCTCGGCGATTGACTGTCCCGAGTGTTTTGCGGGGGGGGTTTCCGCCCTTGTTTACCCTGGGGCAAGTGGTAGTTTTTGCACTGGTAGGGGCACAGGGTACTGTGCAGCTAGTTTTCACCTATATCAGTGGCTGGCTCTGTTCCTCCTGGGGTACGTTGTCCTCTTGCGAAGTTTTTCTTTTCTTTTTCTTTCTGGGGAAAGCCCCTACAGCTTCCCGGAGCTTACTAGGCTGATATGCTAATGTCAGACTTTGGCATCAGTGATGAGTATGGAGTTCTGTGGGCCTACCGGGGACCACGAGCCAGAACCTGGCCCCCTCAGAGAGGCATGGGAAGCAATGGCTTATAGACACCCACATGTGGTTGGAAGCATTCTGTGTCTGCCATCGACCAGGTCAGGCACTCAGAAAGGTAAGCATCCCAAGACAAACCCCTTTTCTGGTGAAAATGCTACCAGATGCCAAACAAATACATAGAACTCCCCTAAAAGAAACGAGCATGACGTCACACGTCGCCGCCCCGTTGTCTGTGCAGCTCCCCACTTTCCAGGAGGGGAAAGGGGAAACCCCAGACCCCCACGCCGGCTATCCACCCGTCAGTTCTCGGGCTGATGCTAGAGGTGGAGGTTCTGTGCTTGGCTCCAGCGTTTCCAACACTGTGCTTTGAGTGTGGTGGCGTGGTGGCTGTCTTCTAGGGATAATTATTTTTTAATTATAGATTATAGGGATAATCACAATTAAAAAGAAATTATATATGTACAAGTGAATTTGTTACTGACAAAAAGGTGAATGTGGCACTTTATACAATGTGCTCTGAATGTCATCCTTCACCCATTCGTAACAACGTCAAGGCAAGGGAAGACACAAGCGAACTGAGAGAGCACCAATAGACTTCTGATTTACTACAGCCCAGGCCAGGGCTACATATACCGGTAGTGACGTCATATTGGCGCGAAGCTGGGTCCGTGAATGAGGAAACGGCAAGAGAAGTGGTTGTTTGCTGGTGGTAACAAGTGCTGGTGGGTTGCAGGTGCGCATCTCTCGTGGACGGTAGGGTGGTGGGGGTGGGGAAGGAGAGACTAGACAATATGTTTTTGGCACATATTGTTGGTGTTGATGGATAAGGTAGAAGCATGTTGATTTGGAAGATGTAAGGAACAGGCAGAATCCACTGCTATGCAGGTGATAACTGTAACACTTTGTTCTCGGGGTTCTATTCCTTATTTTCAGAGGCAGTTTGGTAGGGCTGGGGCTTTGCCTGCCACTGGTCAGGGTGGGTCCTCAGTGGGTCCCCAGGTTCCAGGGACCTTTAGCTTCTACTCATTAGTGCATTCAGTTTCCTGGTTAACTGGTGAAATTTCCACTTGGTCGTATCCCTGGTCCAGACTTGGCTGGCCTCGTTTGGGATTCACTTTCCCTTCCTCTGGCAACCTCTTCACCATCTGGTACTGGATTGGCTCTGGGTGACTTGGAGGCTAGTTGAGTGGTTGTGCAGAAGCCTCAGATTTGCCTGGTTAGTTTTCCAGCTAGGGAGGGTGTGGCTTCAGGCCCTGGTATCCCTTCGTTGGCTGTTGCTTTTTCCGTTTGCTCTTCAAGTTTTTCAGGCTTTGGTTCTGTGGTCCCATCCTTCCCTTTTGCTGGATGTGTTTACAAACACTTTGGCTCTGGACTGGGACTTCATGACTAGCACTCACCATGCGACCCTGGATCATTGGTCAGGTCTGTTCCTTCAGGCACAGTGTACAGTGCACTAGTTTACAAGCATGTGGAATGCTTTGAGGAAGATTTAGCTCCCTCCGGGCTCCATGCTCCAGCTTTATTCTGAATGCTTCCCAGTGGTACATGGCTTTAACCAAGGGAGTTGCTTTAGTCCCTCTCATTTTGGAGCTGGATGCAATATATAACTTGTTTTCTGGATTCTTGGAGTTTGCCACTGCACACCCTTCACATTCGGGGTATCCAACATCCTTATTGAACAAAGTCAGCGAAGTGATTACATAAGTGTAGTTACAGGATGAGAGCTACGCTTGTGGTGTCCTGTCTTTCCAGTACTCTTTGTCATATAACGCTTTGAAACTATTGACAGTTTTGGCCTCCAACACCTTCTCACTTAGCTTAATCCAATCGTCTACCACTTTGTTTGCAAAAGAAAACTTTCTAATACTTTTTTGACACCTGTGTTTCCTTAGCTTGAATCTGTGTGCTCTTGTTCGTGAAGTTGCTGGTTTCAGGAATTCCTCTTTGTCAATTTTGTCAATTCCTGTTAGTATTTTGTAAATGGTGATCATATCACCCCATCATAAATGGGTTGTCTTGCTTCCGTTTTATTTCCATGAAGTGGATCATTAACGTGTTCTACTGGATTTGTTTAGACTTTTGGGGGCTTCAAGGTGGATTACTTCACATAAGTGTAGAACTTGGCTGGCCTCGTTTGGGCTAGTTGATATGGGAGTTCATTTATCTCTTTACCCTGGTTCAACTGTTGCTCTTGGTTCTTGCCAGACTGGTCATATTCAGGGATGGTGATTCTTCTTGTTCCTTGGTGGCCGACTCAGCCTTGATTCCCGGCTTTTCTTGCTCAGTGTTCAAACCCGGGCATTTTCCATAGCTCCATCTCTTTCAGGAAATTGGTCTAGTCCTGCACCATACTTTACTGGTTCAAACTTCTCCTCTGCACTTTGCATCTGGACTTTTTGGCACACCTCTATCATCATTTGCTTGACAAGCAGGGAGCTAGATTGTTGGTGTCCTTCAGTGTGTGTCTTTGATGCAGCAGTATGATTTTGCGTCTTTCTGTTTCTCTTGTCATCTTTCATAGTTTTCCGTACGGGTTGTGCTTTCCTTTTTGTTGTGGTTGTTTCTGGACCAGCATCTCATCATTTGACGTTGATGGAGCCACTGTTACTTGCCTTCGACGTCAATACTGTTTCAATGCTGCTCTGTAAACTGTAATTTTTTCGCCTCCAGCCTCCCAAGTCACCCTAGTCTCTCAACCGAGTCCTCGTCTTGCTGTCCTCTTCTCTGTTTACGGATTCCTCTTCTATCCGGGGACACTCTTTCTCAAGACAGTGTTCCTGTTGGCTCTCACCTTGGGTTGTAGGATGGAGGTAGCTTCATGCTCTTCTCCAGAGGCATGGGTTTTGTTTTTTTGACCTTGGTGGGCATTTTGTTCATTTGTAGCCTTCTCCTTTTCTGGTGAAAAATGAGTCAGCGGGCTTCCGGAGAGGTCCATTAATTATTGATACTTGGTTAGTTCTCACAAGAGCATCATCATTTGTTGTGTCCGGTGGTGGCAATTTCCCACCACCTTTCCACCACCGATTCTGCTTCGGTGAATGCCTTGCAGGTCAACCCTGTTTCCTTGGTCCCATTCGAAAGCTCACATTTCTCAGGTTGTCCTCAGTGCTGTTACGTTTAGCCAGCTAATGGTCTACCCTTGTGCCCCTTGATGTTCATAAACATGATGTGCTTGCAACTGTCTTTTTCCAATGTCCTGGGCTGATATTCAGGCAAAGGGGTTTTGGAGGAGTAGCAGGGTCTTAGCAGACCAGTATTTAATCAGTTTTCCTGAACCCAATTGTCCCTGTAGTGTTTTGGGCCATGTTTCTTGGCTTGTTGCCTCTCCCTCGTTGCCATCTCCCCTCCTCCCTGGTAAGTCCCATGTTTTCCTTCTCTGTGGTTAATTAGCTTCAGGGAACTATGAGGGCCTCTCCCAAAAATCCATCATTGAATGTAATGAAATACTTCTTTCTGGTTGAGCCCCAGTGGCACCCTGAATCCCTCCCTCCCTCTCTTGAGGTTCATCATTTGGTAGCAGCTCCAGCACTGACTTAATTGGGTTGGTGGGATGCTGGTGCTCTTGGCCCCCTGGTGGCAGAGAGGGGGGGGGGTTGTTAATGCTAACTGTTTAGCACTAGTTGTGTTAGATTCAATCAATTATTTACATTCTTTAGATCAAGTGTTTTGTGGCAGAGTTTTTGAGGTTTTGGTTTTTGGGGACCTGGCATTTGTCTCTAATGCTTCTTTGACTTTCTGGATGCTTTCCCAGTGGAGTGGTGGAATATCACTCGCTCTCTCTGCCTTTGTGAGGAGAGGGCGGTTTCTGGCTCTGGTTCCCGGTAGACCAAAGAGAACTCCACGACTGATGGCACCTAATAGATAGGAGCAATGGTGGCGAGATAGCTTTAGTGAGTCGCCAGAAAGAGGTGTTTCATTAAATTCAATGCTGGATTATTTTCCCCATGTGTACAGGCGAGGTGACAATTTTGATGATCACCATTCTTTGAGACTTAAATAATGGATGTTATTAGTGATATGTATTTATTGGAATATTTACCTTTAAAACAATCTGTTAAGCAAGTCTTATTATTCTCTCTGGATATTCATATATATTAGTATTAATCAATGTATATACATTTTTCTCTTTTCAGTTATTGGTTTATTCATAAGCAATACCAAGGAAGTGCCTTCCATCCACTAATTTCCTTATACATACAACCAAGAATCATACTTATATTTACTTTCACCTTAGTTCTTACAGCGATTTCCGAGGTGGGTACATGTGTTGTCTTAGTTTTTACAACAATTTCTGAGGTGGGTGCATGTGTTGTCTTAGTTTTTACAACAATTTCTGAGGTGGGTGCATGTGTTGTCTTAGTTCTTACAACAATTTCTGAGGTGGGTGCATGTGTTGTCTTAGTTCTTACAACAATTTCTGAGGTGGGTGCATGTGTTGTCTTAGTTCTTACAACAATTTCTGAGGTGGGTGCATGTGTTGTCTTAGTTCTTACAACAATTTCTGAGGTGGGTGCATGTGTTGTCTTAGTTCTTACAACAATTTCTGAGGTGGGTGCATGTGTTGTCTTAGTTCTTACAACAATTTCTGAGGTGGGTGCATGTGTTGTCTTAGTTCTTACAACAATTTCTGAGGTGTGTACTTGGTTGTAAAAACGATTCTTTGCGGCGGGGATCGTATTCCAGGGACTTGCCTGAAACGCTACGCGTACTAGTGGCTGTACAAGAATGTAACAATTCTTATATATATCTCAAAAAAAAAAGTAGGTGCATGTGATGTCTTAGTTCTTTCAACAATTTCTGAGGTGGGTGCATGTGTTGTCCTAGTTCTTACAACAATTTCTGAGGTGAGTGCATGTGTTGTCTTAGTTCTTACAAACATTTCTGAGGTGGGTGCATGTGTTGTCTTAGTTCTTACAACAATTTCCGAGGTGGGTATACATGTTAACAATTTCATACACTAGAAAAGAAGGTACTGCTAATAAATATCTAGTACTATACTGGACAGTATGAGCATTATACTCATGACTCCCCCAACCCTGCAGGGTGGAGAGCTTTGTGCTCTTCTCTGGGGCAGAGGTTCTGTTCCTTTGGCTCTGATGGATGGTGTGTTTGTTCTCTGCCTTCTTTTCTGGCAAAGAGCAAGTTGGTTGGATTCTGGATTATATTCTTGGTGATTGATGCTTAGTTGGTCCAGCTGGGGGGTGCATCATTGTAGTGTCCAGTGGTATGCTTCACCCTACTTGTGTGGTACCGGTTCTGCCTTGATGGATGCCTTGTTTAGTTTCCTTTCCCTCTTGTTGCAATTCTAAGGTTGTCTGCAGCATCATAAAAACTAGCCAACATGCAGTCTACCCTTGAGTCCATGATATTCATAAGTATGCAGCATTGGCGGCTGTCTTCAACATGTTGTAGGTTGATATTTGTGCTCAGGTTTGAGAGGTCTAACTGAATCTTTGTATTTAGTAAATTTCCCTGGTCCCAGTCTCGTGTGGCATCTGGGCCAGATTTCTTTTCGTGCCTCAGAGGCACCAGTCAAGGCTCTGTTCACACACTGTGCATTGGCCTACCATGGATCAATGTAAAGGTTGCAAGAATGGGGGTATGCCTTCATTTTCAAAATCAAATCTTATAATGCAGTATATAATTTTGTTATTTTCCAGAATACTTATGTTTATTGTGAATGTAATGCGAGATGTGAATTTTCTTTTCCAGAAAACTGTTTACCCAAGATGTATAACCTTACACATTGGATTTGGTGCAATGTGTCTCATGGCTGTTATATACTTCCTGCGCTGGGAGATGAAACCTTTGCTGGAGAAGATCCTTCAGTTTGCCAGTAAATTACTCTCACGACTGGGTGAGCAGAATGATCACTATGACAAGGAGCAGTTTAGCAAAGTATTGCTGGTAGATAAAATACACTGGTTGCTCTATAGAATCTAGCATGTATGCATTTTATTTCTAGAACTGAACAAAATTCTTTACATGTTAAACTGCATTTAAATATCCTTCATAAAAGAAATTCATATGAAACTTAATACTGTATTTGGTAGCTGCAACTAAAGGTTTTGCAATTTTTAAATTTGTTACTTTATGATGAACTAGCCATGATGCATTTGTTTAATGGAATACAGTACTATATATGGATGTTGAATGCAAGGTCCATCATATCTCCATGTATTTGTCTAGCGTTCATTCTTAATTTGGAGGAAGAGAAACTAGTACTGTAGTTACCGTACCCTATACCCCAGGGGGCGATCCCACTTAAAATCCTGGTCAGGCTATGTAAAAAAAAAATTCTATAATAGGCTCACACATTCATGCATCCTTGAAATCACAAATGTAGGCCCATGCATCACTGATGTAGAATTTTTTTTTTTTTTTACATTAGGGGGTTAGTAATGGAGCTCAGTTAATAAGCTTAATACAGTGGTACCTCGCATAACGATCGCCCCAAAAGACGAACATTTTGGGTAACGAACGGCCCGATCGGCGTCAAATCGTCCCGTATGACGAACGCTGGTTTGAGTAACGTCAACACCACACGGTGGGGTCGCGCTGCTTCTTGCACATTCTTAGACGCCTCCGACGATGCACATAAATTATGTTGTTCTTGTTTAAAGATGCTAATAATGCTGGGATATAAAAGGGTGACTGCTGAGATGTTGCAAAGCATTGACGTTTTTGTAGGAAAAAAGAAATGAAATGTCTGATATACAACAAATGTCAAAAAGGTTCGTGCGGTGTTCGGCAGGTAGGCTGCTCCATTATAACAATCTTTCTTTGTTTCAAATGTGTTCCATTTGTTTTGTATTTGTCATTTACGTCTCAATAATGGAGAAGCCTACCCTACATACACTGAATAAACCATTATGACATTTTCCTTTCTTCAAATGTGTTCAATATTTATTTTTCATTTGTCTTATAGCAAAAGGTTCGTTCGGTGGTCGGCAGGTAGGCTGCTCCATGTTTCTTACATACAAAAAACGTAAATAATAAAAAAAATGAAGAATTTTGAAAACCAGTACAAATGTCAAAAAGGTTCGTTCGGTTGTCTACAGGTCAGCTGCTCCATGTTTCTTAAATAAAAAAAAAACGAAAAATAAAAGAACTGTTGAAACAATTTGAAAAATGGACAAATGCCATAAAGGTTCGTTCAGTGTTTGTCGGGTAGGCTGCTCCATTATTGAGACGTAAGTGACAAATACAAAACAAATGGAACACATTTGAAACAAAGAAAGATTGTCATAATGGAGCAGCCTACCCAACAAACACTGAACGAACCTTTTGCTATAATGAATATGAAAGACAGGGCTGCTGGCTGGGTTAGTACTGCGTGAGCAACCATTTGTAGCACACGTGCCTCTGGCTCTCAAACACCTGTCCCACACGGTGTTGAAAGACTGCGCTCAGTCGGTGAAATTCAGGCCCTATTGTTTGAAGAACATAAGGGTCATAACATTGGTGAAGCTAGGCGCAATAAGGGCTTAACACAACGGTCGGATGCCAGTGATACAGCACCTATGAGAATGATACAGCGAGCGTATCCAGGTTAAATTTTTTAAATTTTGCCCCGAGGGGCAAGTTTATTGGGCAGCGCCACTCATCTTGTGAGTGAACATACCGCCATAGCAGAATGTACAACACTCCCCAATAGGAAGAAAACCCGCTGGGTTGTTCATCCTGTCACTTGTACCCAGACACAGCTGGGACTTGCTTAACTGTCTCAAGTGAACAGCTCCTCAAACAAGAAGATTAACATTTATCAACCCTTAAAAGCTTACGTTATCTTGCGGGTGCAAAATGGGGAAATCTTTTAAGAACAGTATCAATATTTGACAAATAGTGTTTTCCTAACTCAAACAATGTGGGGTTTATTATTCTACAGTTATTCCTAATGTCTCTCAGGTGTTCACATTCACGTAGATAGTGGTCAAGGCGGTGTCCATCACTCTCACCACAGATTCTGCAACTTCGCTGATCAACTGTTGTTTCCATTCCAAATCTCCATGGATATTTGTATCCAAGACGGATTCTCGCTATTACAGATTCTCTCCCTCGTCGTCCTCCTCTTCGGCCATACTGATTGGGATTGCCAGCTGCAACCATGTTGTACCATCGTACAGATTCACTGGTTTGTGCTTCTATCCTCCTTTCCTCAGTTACCTTGTCACGGTGATGTTGCCTGATAATACCTCTAATTTGTAGTTGAGTCTTGGGTATGAAGTATTCAATATGGTCTCCTTCAGCGCCTTCAGCAGCCAGCACATCTGCTCGTTCATTCCCACATATTCCAACATGGGAGGGGATCCACAGAAACTTGATGACTCTTCCCTGATTGGTAAGTACTCTCACAGCTCTCTTGATTTCAGCGACTATTGCAAGATTTTCTGCCTGATTTTTACTTAGGCTTTGCAGTGCTGCTTTTGAATCGGTGCAAATCACTGCACCATTAGATGACATTGATGACATCAATAAAAAAAAATAAAAAAATAAAATAAAATGTTTATTTAGGTAAGGTACATACATACAATAAATTTTTACAAAGAATGGTTGACTTATAGGTAGAGCTAGTACATACAATGCCTAAAGCCACTATTACGCAAAGCGTTTCGGGCATGATAAACTTAAATGACAAGCTTAATACTAATTGAGCATAATGAGTAGAATGAAAACAAGAAATGAAAACATAGATGAAAAAGTAGCACAAATACAATTATGTCGACAAACAGCGCTCTTTAAAAAAAAAAAAAAAAACAGACATTGGTTGACAATAGAAGGGTAAGGTAGGTTACAGGGAATTTATTAGGTATAGCTTCGTTTTTAACTTAAACTGGTTGAGAGAAGTACAGTCTTTAACATGGTTGGGAAGGTCATTCCACATTCTGGGCCCCTTGATTTGTAGAGCATTTCTAGTTTGATTAAGTCGTACTCTAGGAATATCAAAACTGTATTTATTTCTGGTGTGGTGCTCATGGGTTCTGTTACATCCTTCTATGAAGCTTTTGAGATCAGGATTGGCATTATAGTTTAGCGTTTTATATATGTATAATACACATGAGAGAATATGCAGTGACTTAATGTCTAACATATTCAGAGATTTGAGTAGGGGTACCGAGTGATGCCTGGGGCCAGAGTTGGATATTGTCCTAATAGCAGCTTTGTGTTGAGTAATTAGAGGACGTAAGTGATTTTGGGTAGTAGAGCCCCAAGCACAAATACCATAGTTGAGATATGGATAGATAAGGGATTAATAGAGAGTCACCAGGGCAGGGCGTGGTACATAATATCTGATCTTAGAAAGAATGCCCACAGTTTTTGAAACTTTTTTTGATATATTTAGAATGTGTCCCTGGAAATTCAGCTTGTGGTCAATGAGAATGCCAAGGAATTTGCCATCTAATTTGTTACAAATTTGGGTATTGTTTATTTTGTGATTTATTTGACTAGAGGATTTATTGCCAAACAGAATATAGAAAGTTTTGTCAATGTTAAGGGTGAGTTTGTTGGCAGTTAGCCAAAGATGGACTTTATTTAGCTCAGTATTTACTGTGGCATTTAGAGCAAGGGGGTCAGGACTGGAGTAAATGAAGGTTGTGTCGTCAGCAAATAGAATTGGTTTGAGGTGTTGGGAGGCATTTGGAAGGTCATTAATGTAGATGAGAAAGAGGAGAGGGCCAAGTATGCTGCCCTGAGGAACACCAATGTTGATGGGTAGGGTGGGAGAAATTGTATTATTCACAGAAACATATTGGAGCCTGTCAGTAAGGTAGGATTTGAGGTATTGTAGGGAGTGTCCTCTGACTCCATAATGATGTAATTTAAGAAGAAGATTTTGGTGGTTGACAGTATCAAAAGCTTTACGCAGGTCCACAAATAACCCAACAGGGAACTCCTTTTTATCAAGAGCTGTATGAATCGAGTTAAGCATACTAATAAGTGCATCGTTAGTGCTTTTTTTGGGTCTGAAGCCATATTGGCAAGGGCTAAGTATATTGAGTTTGGCTAGATATGAGTAAAGCTGCTTATAGATTACTTTTTCAAAATTTTTTGACAAGTTTGGCAGGATTGATATAGGTCTGTAGTTGTTAACATCTGTGAGATCACCACATTTGTGGACAGGCGTTACTCTCGTTTTTTTTAGAATATCTGGAAAGGTTTGGAGTTCAAGTGACTTGTTGAAGAGCAAAGCAATAGCAGGGGCTAAAGATCTGGAGGCTTTTTTGTAAATTAAAGTTGGTATCTCCTCAAGGGCACCAGACTTGGTTTTAAGGGAAAGGATTATCTCATTGACGTCAGTGGAGTTAATAGGCTTTAGGTACAGAGACTGTGGATAGTTACCTTTAAGATAGTCCTTAATGTCAGTACTGGAAGATGGAATATCATTTGCAAGGGATGAACCAATGGAAGAGAAGAACCTATTGAACTCAATAGCAGAATCAGAGGCTGAAAGCTGACCATCGTTATTAGACAGGAGAGTCGGTTTGTTATTTAAAGATTTCTTTGATCCCAATATTTGTGAAATTGTGCTCCAAGTTTGTTTAATGTTGCTCTTTATTTGGGTAAATTTATCTTCGTAGTATTTAGTTTTGGCTCGTCTAATTATCTTAGATAGCAATAATGAGTAATTCTTTGAGAATTCTTTGGAGACAATTCCTAACCTATACTTCTTCTCAAGGTCATGTTTTTTATTAATAGATTTAAGTATTCCCTTTGTAAGCCAGGGATTGTTGAGCCTTTTGGTTGTGACTTGTTTTGTAAGCATAGGACAGTGGGTATTATAAAGGCTAAGAGTTTTTTGAAGAAAAGATTGCACTGCTAGGTTGATGTCCTCTATGTTACCTAACTCGGACTCCCAGTTGACATTATCAGCAGCAGTTATAAAATTGTCTATAGCAGTTTCATTGTGTAGTCTGAAACGTATCTCTCTTGACTCAAGAGGTGGTTTGCTAATGTTAGTTAAGAGAAATGTGGGGTAATGGTCTGTAGTGCT